AATCTTTTTTATTTTTTTAATTTAGAAAATCACAGACATAATTTTTTATTTTTTATTAAAATAAATTTCATCAATAATATTTTTTAAATGTAAGTATTTTTTAATATATTTGTTTCGTTTTATAGATACAAGTACTTTTTTGGTTAAAAAATGTTTAAGGACTTAATCATTCCAAATATGAATTTTCATTGGGTTTCTTTTTCCAGATTTTTTTCATTATTTTGTCATATTAACTAATTTTATAGGTCATAAGAATTTAGGTAACACGTTTTAAAAAGTCCAACAAGTTGTTTAACAGGTTTTGAAATGTCCAAAAATTTATTTGTTTCAAAAAATTATCTAAAAACTTAATTTTTCATATTAGATTTTTTAAATTTTTTCTTAAATCATAAAAAAGAAAAACTGGATGCCGACACATACAACCTGTGAGTTTAAATTAGTGGAGATATGATATGACTACACATTGTGGTAGTACCAATTCTTGTCGGTAACTGTTAGAGTGAACTACATTTTTCGTCCCTAAGGTTTGGTGGTTTTACTATTTTCATCCCTATTTTGAAAAATTAACAAAACATGCCCCTATAATTACATCTTTTTAACGAGTTATGTTAGTGTGTTTGTATTTTTCTAACAAGCAAAGTTTTTATGTTTGTTGTTTTTATAACGAACTGGGTCCTGGATAAACAACAAATTAAATTCTCGTGGTTGCATTATAGACCCAATTCGTTAAAAAAATTGCAACCAGAGGAACGTAACTCAGTTAATTTTTTAAAATATGAGACGATATCTGTCAAAGCACCAAACCATAGGGACAAAAAATATAATTCACTCCACTTATTTTGATCAATGATAACTTTGTTGATTGGTACAAATTATAAAAAGTATAAAAATATGAAGAGACAAATTATAACGTTTTTTGGATCCTTTAAAAAGAGAGACAAGTTTGGAATAAATAAACCAAATATGATGATGATTCAAATACCATTTACTCATTTATTTAATTACTAGAATGATACTCGAACAATACAGTAAGATACTTCTTAATTAACATACGACTAAGAAAAACAAACCAAAATCGGATCACATATGGGTTTTCACGCCGGATCGAACTTGAAACAGATTTAGCTCATAATAGTAACGGAGATTCCAATACTTTCTTGATGTTGATGCATTGTTCCAGAAACTATATGTATGGATATATAAAAATGTATTTAACCCACTTTTTTTTTTAAAAGTGTACGTAAAAACAATAAGTATATAATGATTGAGTGATAATTAATGAGGAGTAAAATAATAAGCGTAGGGATGGGATGGGTGGAAGGTACATCGTCATGCAATGAAGTACCAAGTAGCAAATATTCAAACAATTGAATCGATGCCAATTGGCAAATCACTAATAGCGACGGTCGTCTCCGTTGCTATTAATTAATTAAATACATGTGCTTCACCTTGCAATTTGGTGCCCACATGCTTCTTGTCTTCCCTTCACATTTCTATTGGTAATTACAGATTTATAGGATCTTAATTTTGGTCAATTTTTGAAATTAAATACCCCTATTATATTCTAATTATTAACTTAAGATTTTTAAGATCTTAATTTTGGTCAAATTTAAATAAAATGCCTAATTTTGTTCTAACTCCTTTATATATATATATATATATATATAGAGAGAGAGAGAGAGAGAGATGTTATTCTACACCCTTTGTCATTCCTACACCCTATACAACCCTCATCTCAACCATTCAATTTTTAATCAATTAATTGTTTCCTAATATAAAGTATTAATCATAATAAATGAACTCCAATCATTTCTATAAATATCTCAATTAATTAGGTTGCAAAGGTTGTACAAATGCACAAGGTTGTAAAAGAAATATACCATATATATATATATATATAATGTCAAAATACCTGGTGGAAAAAACAGAGCTTCTGTAACCCAAATATCACCAATGCAATGTTTGAATGTCACTGCCAAAAACCTCACCAATATGCAAAACCAGCGAAGAAGAATAATGAGTCATTTTAATGTAGACCAAACGAAACAATTAAACAAGAAAATCACCTCTGTTTTGAGTACCTGCTGCTGCCCGCTCTCGGTTCATGTTACCAAATCAAAACCCAGCAAAGCTCTTGTTTGTTRCAAGGAACGCARCAGCCRAGCKTCGTTCRTTGWTGGYYTTTGTGCTGTCAAAACAGCCCCCCTCAAGCCTCCAGCTGCCCCTTACGATTCTGTTAACATTGCCCCAACAGCCCCTGTTTTCTGTGCATATAAAACCACTCGAAAGCCCCTCTATTTTGGTGCCTTCAATTTGACCGAATGTGCTTCCCTCCAAACCCAGCCCTGTGTTTTTACCACATCCTCTTCTTTCTTTTTCTTTCTTCTTTTCTTTAGCCGTGACTTCTGTGAATTCCCTGGAAATTTCCTTCCCTTTTTTGGAACTGTAAGAGATCATTTAGGTAAGAATCTGCAAGTTGATATTGCAGGAACACAATATCAAGTCCCACCTTTGACAAAAAGGTTTCAGGTCTGGAAAATTGATTGAGCCGAAACCAAACCATTGAGACCGAAGGTTAAACGGCATGTGAAGAGGGCATGATCCTTCTATTCAATGAACTTCTGAAACGCAAAGCCTAAGCACACAAAAACAAACAACATAACCAAAAAAAGCATGCAACCACCATAAATTAGTGCTCGAAAGATATGCATTTAAGGTTCAATTTATATGAAATCATGAGTTATGTAAAAAAAAAACACCTTTGAATACTACTCAACCACAGCAAACTTCTTCATATTAACATATCCTGCACCTACTGAGTCCATTCTTGTATGATAGCTTCATAAACATGACATCCCTGAAGAAACAAAATGAAGCATGTTTAAAGAAACAGTCATGCAACATATTATTATCCCTACTTGATTCATGTCAAGAATAAGTAAGCACCTCATTTTCAGCCCCCTCTTCATCTCTACATCCTGTTATTGATGCAGTGCAGTAAGATCCATTCGTCCCAACAAGAGAAAATATGGTACAGTACAGTACAGCAGCCTCCTGTAGTTGTAGTTGTGGTTGTTCCGTCTTCTGATCGAACAATTTTCAGACCTCCTAACAATGAAATGCTCGGGGGAAGATTTGTTATGCTCGTACCTCGTATATCCAACTCTTCTAAACATTCTAAACGTCCAAGTTCCTCTGGCAATTTCTCAACTCTAATAGAATCGTGGAGACTGAGATACTTTAGCCTTTTCAACCTACATATGCTGTTCGGAATATCTCGTAAAACTAGACACCGTGCTAGTTTTAGCATCTTTAAACATTCTAATCGACCAAGATCCTCCGGTAACTTCTCAAGAAGCTCACAGTCATAAAGTGATAGAGATTTCAGATGTTTCAACATACAAATGCTATACGGAAGATGTTTAATTTTTTAGACTGGAAAGTTATTTGCTTTAAACATTCTAATCGACCAAGACCCTCCGGTAACTTCTCAAGAAGCTCACAGCCATAAAGTCCTAGAGATTTCATATTTTTCAACAAACAAATGCTATTTGGAAGATGTTTAATCTTTTTAGACTTGAAATATAGCTTCTCTAAACATCCTAATCAGTCAAGATCCTCCGGTAACTTCTCAAGAAGCTCACAATAAAGTCCGAGATATTTCAGATGTTTCAACAATAAAATGCTATCACGAAAATGTTTAATACTTGTAGACATGAAATTTAGCTTCTCTAAACATTCTAATCGGTCAAGATCCTCTGGTAACTTCTCAAGAAGCTTACAATAAAGTGTGAGAGATTTTAGATGTTTCAACAACAAAATGCTATCACGAAGATGTTTAATACTTATAGACCTGAAAGTCTTTGGGCGCTCTAGACATTGTAAGTTGTCAAGGTCTTTGGGCACCTCTGGAATATCGCATTCAAGTGTAAGGGATCCTAAGTGCTGTAAACCACAAATGCTTCCAAAAAAACTATCAAGGTCTGTGCAATCACAAGAGGAACCTACCGAAATAAGCTTCTCAACATTTCCTCTCAATGAGGGTAGATCTTCCTCGTATATACAATCAAACTGAAACTTGGGGAAATTATCATCGGGGTGCAATGGGCATATATCTATCAACTTTCCATGTAGTTCTAAGTTAGGCAATAATCCATAACCTTTCTCAATATTTAAATTAGTAAACCTCAAAAAACCTTTTGCTTTTAAGTTGGTGAGCTTTTTTAGACCTCCAATGGGAGCAAGAAGTTTTACCAAACTAGAACATTCTTCAATGTGTAAACTCTCGAGATTTGGAGTTCCCCCAAGGTCAAGGGTCTTCAACTTTGAACATCCTTTGATGTCCAGAGATTTGAGCATTACGTCTCCAACAGGGATGTGAAGTTCTACCAAAGCACAAGATGTAAGAATCAACTTCTTGAGATTACGGGTCAGCTTAAGGGTACTCAACTTTGAATTAATTAGTTCGAGTTGTTGACATCT